TTTTTGGGAGAACTATCAAATAAGCTCTCGAACTTTCATAAAAAGTGCAAATAAGCCCTTTTATAGAAGGTTCTGTCCGGCCGTCGCCATTTGGGTCGGTTTCCTGTGGAATTTTTTGATGAAACTTTTTGAGTATCTTCTTCATTAAGTCTAGTTTATTCATACCAAATTTCAGATAAAAATTCGATCGGGAGAGAATTCAAATGAATTTCTGAAGATAACTGCGAAGTTAGACAACGCAATATATTTCAGAAAATCATTTGACTGCCTTCTCGATTGCATTTTTAGGTGAAATTTGGTATGAGTAAACTGGACTTAATGAAGATCTCAAAAAAATTCATCAAAAAATTCCACCGGAAACTACCCCAAATGGCGACAGGCGGACAAAGCCTCCTATAAAAAGGCTTATTTGCAATTTTTATGAAAGTTCGAGGGCTTATTTGATAGTTCTCCCTTTTTTTCAATTTTCGGGTTGGGCTGGGTATTTTGGGCCATTTGGGGTGGTTTGGGGGGTTGGGGGTGGGAGGGGGGTTAATTAGGAAGAGGAAAAAAAAATTGATAATGGGCCCGGCCCGAACCCGGTGGTTACCCGGGCCGGTCCCGGGTCCACCACTTCTGAACCGCCGGGCCGCCCGGGCCTAGGCCCGACCCGGCCCCGGCCCGGCCCCGAGTCCACCCCTAGTCCCGGATCAAGACCGGGCCTGCCATTGTGCGGGACCAAATTGTGTCTAGTTATTTGGTCCCGAGCTTGGACCGGGTACTTGATTGGGCAGAGGGCAGTCTCAGTCTTGGGTAGGTGTTTTGGGGACTGGCTTGGGAGGTCACGGTCCTGGTTCCGGTTCCTGTCCCAACATGCATTTTTTTCTCTAAATTCTAGGGTGGGAAATTGGGTTCGTACCGGTCCAAAACCGATCGAGTAGATCGGATCAAGATCGGAATCGTGTACGTACCTGATAGAGTATATGGGCTTGCACCCACGGCCCACATACTCTTGGACACACAAGGGTAATAAAAATGTAGCGTGGACAGAGCTCCAGTGCTCCACTCTCTATCTGTCAGATTGCGATTATAGTTCAATTTACATCCTCTCAACGTACCGTCCGATCGAGGTTGGGGGGCCCTCAGGGATGGGGTGTCATTCTTTTATTTTTTTTAGACCATTTGTAGTGATGGTGACTGGAGAGGTCAAAATGTTAAAAATGAACTCCGTTCATATGAAAACAGTGATTAGACTCCTATTTCCCTCCATTCGAGCACCATCAATAAATTACATAAATTAAGTATTTTTTACACACCAATTTAGTATAACACTAATTAAATTATTTTAAGTTTCCTTTTAATTTTTATATTGAATAATTATGAAATATAGTACACATTTTGATGTAAAAATAAATAAATCTTATTAATTTTTTAACGTTTTTCGGTTAATAAAAAATGAACTTAGTTCAAGTAGCGTTAAGGGTGGACCGGTTCCGGTTCGGGCTCGGTTCGTGCCTGGGCCCGTCCGGGCCTCGATTCATGAACGGGCCTCGATTCATGAAAGGGGAGGCCCGGAACCAGCCCGAGTAACTCCCGGCCTCCCAGGTCCGGTTCGGGCCGGGCCTCGTTTTATGTAAAAAAAAATTGGCTTTTCCTAATTAAGCCCCAACCCTCCCCCCTCACCCCCAAACCACCCCAAACCACCTCAAATGGCCCATCATACTCAACCCAACCCAAAAACTTAAAAAAAATTCAAAAAAAAAGAAAAAAAAATAAATTGGCCCGGATCGGGCCCGAACCGGCCGAGCCGGTTCACTATTTAGCAGGCCCGGGCCCGAACCGCCTACCTCACCGGGTCGGTTGGCCCGGCTCGAGTGCACTCCTAAGTAGCGTTCGATTATGGAATATTCAGTTATTTGTGAAGACTCCATGAAATAAAAATTTGTGTTCCGTTTTTTTTGGGCTCAAGAAAAAAACTTCAATAGTTAAATCTTGAGATATTGTTTTTCACTTTATGTATTACATATTGGTGTCATATGAAAGATCATAAAAATTTATGAATTTTGAATTACATTATATTTTTTGAAAAATTTGGAGAACAAATGAAAAAGTTATACCTCATCCATATTTTAAAGTTTGCTACACTATTTTTTTGGGTGTATTTAATTTTCTCATTCTTTTTCCTGGTACGTTCTTCTTCCACGCTGCCACGCAAGCAAACAGTAAAGTCTTCTTCTTTCTTTTCATCAGCCCGGCCCACCCCGTCTTTGTTCATATCTTCTTCAGCCTGCACCACCCCACGCCTCTTTTCTTCTTTGTTAGTCTGCAATAGTACTGTACTCGGCTTCAGCTCTAGTGAATTTAGTATCGGATATGCCACGACTTCTAAGATGGACGAACGGTGTGAAGGCGAAGAGACTATTACGGGCCGGAACTGGCCTGGGGTAGAAGGTGTGGAGAGGCAGCTCCGGTAAACTCGACCATTTTTGTTGCTTAATCCGCGAAAGTATGTAGTAAAACGTTGGGGATTGTTTACTTACTTTTAATCAATCAGTTTATTTAATTTGAGGTATATTTCGTTGGGGACTTGGGGCATTTGTAGTCAAATAGCATACAATACATGTATTTTCTTGGTGTGGCGGCGTGGTGGCTTGACGAAGAAGAAGAAAGAAGACAGAGGGGTGGCGTGCGGCGGGCTGGAGAAGAAGAAGAAGAAGAAAGTACGCGGAGGGGTGGGGCTGGGGCTGGGCTGGGCTGGGCTGAAGAAGAAGAAAGGTTGTTCGCTTGCGTGGAAAAAAAGGACGTGAAAAAGAGGAAAAATATGCCATGTCATCATATTCACTGGCTAACCTGATATCAACCTTCTAAATTAGAAATTTGTTTAATTCGAGGTATAATTGATTTTTTGGGTGTACTTTGAAGGCCAATTTGACATTGTTCACTTCTCTTACTGTTTCTACATTATTCATGACCTCTACTATTTCACCCTGCGGCCAAATCTTTTTTTAGAAAACTTTCAAATACCGAGGAGTATAAGTTGTAAAAGCAAACCTTTGGCCCCCTTTTTTTTCCCTTTCTTTTTTCCTTCTCCCACTCCTCTCAACCCACCCTCTACATTTAGCCCCCTTTACCACTTTTAATATCCCTTTTAAACTCCCACTACACACAAGTAAGAGGAGTCCAAAAGCTCCGCACTTTATATTTTGGACTCCTAATACCTCACCACTACAAATGGTCTTATGCTCCCAAGTGATTTCCTTTTGCTTTTCCATCATGTTTCTTGTTTATATGTTAGATCTCTTAATATCTTTTAATCCTATATTCTTATTTTTGAAAATAAAGATTACACGGTAATTGTACAAAAGCAAAGTAAATATAATATAAAACCATTCTTAAGTGTGGTGTGGTGTTTTGCACTATTATATATCAATTACTTCTCCCAATTCAGCATGAGCTACTTTTAGACCAATCTGATGTTTTCTAATTTTAAATGGAATTAATTTTTCTCAAATTCATGTATGAGGCTTTCCCAGAGCATTCAAATTAAAATGAGCTACCGGAAGAGTTAGAACATAACACTTTTTATGATCATCCCAGCAGGCTGCTAGGCAAAGGGTGTTGGTTAGCAAACTACTAATTATACATCAGATAGAATAGTTCTCCCTCTGAGCAAACTACTAATCACCGATGCTGTTGGAGTGATTTTCAGGCGTTTGAATGTCCTCAGCCTTCTTCTAAACAGCTGGCTGCCATTGATGCTTGTGAACAAGGGCAGACATTATTATAATGCCCCGGTTCACTGCAGTTGACCAGTTGTAGCATAACACATCATCATTTGATGGCTTTATTCATCATCTCCTAGGCTGACTGACTGGTGGGTGGCCTACTTGAAGCGTGTCCTTTCTTTTTCATGAGCTCACTCTGGGCGGTAGGGTAGCCATGATCAGCCTCCCAAGCAAATGCTCCACCCATTGTAGGAGATGGACGGTTCCCGCCTTTGTAACAATACCCCCAACTCTCCAAGGATCCAACCGGCCCATTTGGTGGGAAACATGGAAATTGGCGGAAAATGCATTTATCCGGAGCATGGGCTGAACAAGTGGATGGCGATATGAACGCAGGGGTGACTCAACCAACGAAGAGATGACACATCACCAAGCCCATACCATTGAGTTACTACAAACACCCCCCTCATAACCTCATTCACTCCGGTGAAGGTGCAGCTGAAATCTCGTAAATAACATTTATTCTCTTGAATTGTAAACAAGCACCGTAACTATTGGTAGAATGAATGAATGATAGGGGAAATGGTCATAGTTGTTAGCAAGTTATTGTGTGTATTGTAAGAATTGTTCCTTAATAGGAACAAGATACATTTTGACCTCGTGTTGCTCACATATACTAACTATATCCCATTTAGGGATGGACTCAGGCCGGGTGGCCCGACCCGGAACCGGCCCGGGACCGGCACTGTTCCGGCCCGGCCCGACCTGGTGGCCCGGTCAGTGACCGGTCCGGGTAGGCCCGGCCCGTGGGTTTTCCGGTCCGGGCTCGGGTCACCCAAAACAAGGCCCGACCCGGCCGGGCCCGGGCCCGGTTCGGGCCAAAAAATATTTTTTTTTTCAATTTTTTTTAACTTTTCGGGTTGGGCTGGGTATTTTGGGCCATTTGGGGTGGTTTGGGGTGGGAGGGGGGTTAATTAGGAAGAGGAAAACAAAAAAAAATATATAATGGGCCTGGCCCGGCCCGGCACGGACCCGGTGGTTACCCGGGCCGGTCCCGGGTCCACCATTTCTGACCCGCCGGCCCGCCCGGGCCTAGGCCCGGCCCGGACCTGAGTCCAACCCTAATCCCATTAACATTGGGGCATGAGGAGGTGACACGGTTATAAAAAGTGAATTTATATGATTGATATTAAATTGATAAAATAAAGTAAATAATGATTTAAAACCACACAAACGTTGATATGAGACGATCTTAATGGGACAAATCGAAAAAGAAAGATGTGGCAATCTTAATCGGACCGAGAGAGTATATGCATGGAAAGAATGGCAAAAAATACTTGGTATGTCTATAAAAGAACCAAAAACCCATCTACATAAAATGTGACTGCATTAGCTCAATTAGTTATCGTTGAGTACAATTTGGTAACTATAATACAAAAATCTCTAGAATTAAAAATGATAAGGAGATAAAATTAAGCATTCCTGCTGCAAAAAAAACCGTGCTGAACACTCCGTTCTAAAAATGCACCAGGGGCTCTATATAAATCTTGGACCAGCAGAAGACCCCTAATTTGAGTGTGTGAAAGAATAAAATAAACACTGCAGCAGTAAGGGCTCTCTCTACATATTTTCGCTGGCTGGCGGTAGTTCAGCAAACTTTGGAGGGGACGTCCCAAGCACCCGTTCCATATCAAACCGAACTTCAATATTGCGAATGCTATAACCGACGACCATAAGCCAGTATAGTAGCTTTGCCAGTTCAGGAACACTTGTCTCTGTTACGCTCATCTGCAGCACCCCTCCCCCCACATTGAATGAGGAACATCGACATGTATATACACAAAAAACCATATACATTAGAACACCACAGTTTACAGGTTTGATACCCATAATTCAGAATGAAACTTCAGCTTTGAATGAGGAATCTTACATAGCCTAAATGCCTAATACAAGTTCGGGAATCTCATTCCATTTGAATTGCGTAAAACAATATAACTAGAACCAAACATGGGAATGTAAAACAAAGTATTTACATTACCTTGGTAATGTTACAGTCCCTTGGACCAAGCAGCCCATAGGGAATAACGTGGAATGCTCATGTTTGGAATATAACATCAAAATCCAAGCCATAAAGGATAAAACAATATATATATAATTAAAAGCATAAAAGGATAAAGAACATCAGAAAAATAAAGAAGATAAAAGGAAAAAGAGAAAAGAGAGAAAATAAATCCATTCTCCACACGAATATCCACTCTCCACTTCGCTCAAACTAGAAAATTCCCTTGTTACAGCAAATTATGAAATCTTGAAACTGGAAAACAAGTGTTCCTGGGTGATTTGCTGTCGGTCCATACGTGCTTTTGTCCTATGTTATCAAAACTCAAAACCAGACCGGGACATGACCCGGAGAACTAACTGGGTCAAGAGTCAATCCGGACGTGGAGGGCCAACCCGGTCAACAGCTAGTAAACACGGTCAATGTTGACTAAAAAGGATAAAATTATTCTCATTCATAATTTAATAATGATATAAGCCTAGAGAATAAAACTCATCATCATCATTACCCCAGTTCCACAAAGACTCACACCTAACGCCACCTGGATCGCCGGAAAGAACACTACCATACTCGTCCTTCCCAGTCACTACCCAGTTCCTTAGCGATCGCTACCTAGTTCGTTTGCAATCGCTATTCATGTTGATCGCAAACGATCTCACCGAACGTTTTTTCCAGCAAATCGGTCGAACCAAACGATGGACCCCACAGATGTCGTTTCCTTTCAGCATGCGGATACCAAGACGAGCTGATTTCAAACGTTTCTACAGGCTCTTCTTTTCCTACAGCGTGCTGATATCCAAATTCATCGTTTCCTTTCGTTTTCTGTTCCAGGTCATCGATGTTTCAAACCAGGTTACCAGGCAGTCTGGTCTGTTCATTTTCACACGCCACCTAATTAATTAAAGAGTGAAAACCCACAGTTTTTTTGTTTTAATCTAAGTAGCACGGAAACGCGAAACGGGAAACAGGAAATGCGAAAAACGTAATTTCTAAAAAATATATGATATGGAATGTTGGAGAAACATGTAAATATTAAAAAATATAGGGATATATCTATAAATACTTTTTCAAATATATACATAATTTTTCCATGTAATTTGTTTGATGACTCTATTAGAAATGAAGCAAGGTAGAAGCAGAAATGAAATCATCTTGATTAGAATCAGATATTACAGAGTATTTATACAAGCTGTAGTCATAGCTAGCATAACCGAAGCCTAACAGAAAGCAGTTACATTGCTTTTACAAAGAATACACGTGTAGTTTTCCTACAATAACCGAAGCCTAACAGAAAGCCTAACATTCCCCCCTCAAACTGAGGGTGATTGAGTTGGAAAATCAATCACACTGAGTTTGCTTTTGAACTCAAGAAAGGTGGAAGCAGATAGAGGCTTGGTCAACACATCTTCAATTTGCTGGGAGGCTGGAATATGAAAAACTTCAAGCTGTTTGAGTTGGACTTTCTCCCGTACAAAGAAAAGATCAATTTCCATGTGTTTTATGCGAGTATGCAGAACAGGTTGTCACAGTAGATTCTGGGAAGAATGAAAGGAGCTTGAAGTTCTTTGAGTAGAAATTGAACCCATAAAATTTCTGATGTAGTATCTGCTAGGCTTCTATATTCAGCTTATGCTGAAGATCTGGCTACCCTTAGTTGTTTTCTAGACCACCAAGAAATAAAATTAGGGCCTAGAAAAATGCATGACCCAGATGTAGACTTCATGTCTGTGATAGGTAGAGGTGTTTTTGTCAAGGGAAGAGGTTTGATCAGTAGTCCATGAGTGATGGTTCCAGAAAGATATCTCAGAATATGCTTCACAGCTTTCCAATGTTCCATGAACTGACACACTTTATTTACAGCATAGCTGAGTTCAGGTCTAGTTAAGGTAAGCATACCGTAAGATTCCAACAACAGATCTGTAATGAGAGGGATCAGGAAGATGAACATTCCCTTCACTGGTGAGCTTACAGGTACTCACCATGGGTGTTTTCACACCCTTGGAATCAGTCATTCCAACTTTGTGAAGAAGGTCTCTGATGTACTTGGTTTGGGAAAGATGCAAGCAACCATTAGGTAGTTTTCTGACTTGAATGCCCAGAAAGAAATCTATAATGTAAGGCTTGAATGATTTGTTGTATAACAGTGGAGTTATTGCCAATAACCAGAATATCATCAACATAGATTAGGATGTAGATTTGGATTCTAGTCTTGAGGTAGATAAGAAGAGAAGGATCACATTTGCTTTGTTTGAACCCAGCATTATAAAGAACTGAGGTGAGCTTGTGAAACCAAGCTCTTGGAGCTTGTTTTAGGCCATATAAGGATTTATGGAGTCTGCAAACAAGGGAGGTGTCCTTAGCTTGAAAACAAGGGGGTTGAGACATGTAAACCTCTTCCTCAAGGTCCCCATTTAGGAAGGCATTGTTGATATCAAGTTGTTGTATAGACCATTGATGAGAGGCAGCCAGTGTGAGAAGAATTCTGATAGTGACAGGTTTGACTACTGGAGAAAAAGTTTCTCCAAAATCAAAACCAAACCTTTGATGAAATCCTTTGGCAACTAACCTTTTGCTTTGAACTTATTCACAGAACCATCAGGATTTTCTTTCTTTGACTCTGAATACCCATTTGCAACCAATAACCTGCTTGCCTGGAGGAAGAGACATTAAAGACCAAGTATTGTTAGCTATCAGGGCATTATATTCAGATTTCATTGCTGCAAGCCAAGGTGGAGAAGAGAGAGCTTGCTTCACTGATTTGAGCTCTATATGGGCTAACAGTAAGGTGGGATTAAGTCTGGGTTTTACAATCCCAGATTTGGATCTGGTTTGCATGGGATGATTGTTATGAGGAGGGCTTGGAGGTGGAGGAGGGTTAGAATCAGATGATGAGGAGTGAGAGTTGAGAGTGTTGTCATTAAAGGGATTAGAAGGAGTTGACTCATATTGGGAGGATGGTTGATGAGCAATTTGATGATCAGTGTTAAACTGAGGTGTAGTGGATGAAGATGTAGGAATGGATGAAGGACTGGTACTGGCACCATTGTCAGAGTGAAATGGAGATGAATAGGAAGGAGAGTGAATTGCTATTGGGGCTGATAAGGAAACTGGGACACTAGGAGTTGAACTGGATGTGGATGGAAAAAGAGTAGTGTAAGGAAATTTGGTTTCATCAAAAATAACATCCCTGGAAAGATAAATTCTGCCACATGGAGAGAGACATTTGTAGCCTTTGTGATGAGAAGAGTATCCCAGAAAAACACATTCCTTGGAATGGTAGTCCATTTTATGTTTATTGTAAGGTCTAATGAAAGAATAGCAAGAGCAACCAAAGACTTTGAGAAAGGTATATTCAGGAATAGTACCATAAAGTTTGAAATGTGAACTGAGATTTGCAATAGATTTAGAGGGAAGTTTGTTGATAAGATGTACAGCAGTGGCAAAAGCAGTGTCCCAGAGTTTGAAAGGCAAAGAAGAATGTGCTAGGAGACATAGACCTTTCTCAACAATGGTGCGATGTTTCCTCTCAACAACACCATTTTGATGGTGTGTATGAGGACAAATAACTCTATGATTAATACCTTTTTCAGTAAGAAACTTTGTGAATGATCTGAATTCTCCTCCCCAATTAGATTGGATTGACTTAATGGAGATGTTAAACTGATTTAGGATGTATTGATGGAAGTTTTGAAAAGCTAAGAAGGCATCTGATTTCTTTTTGAGAAAGTAGATCCAGGTATATTTGGTGAATGCATCAATAAAGGATACATAGTAAGTGTAGCCATCAAAGGACTGAATACGAGCTGGGCCCCATAAGTCGGTATAAATTAGTTCAAAAGGAGAATGAAATACAGTTGTAGATGGGTAAGAGGGTAGTCTGTGAGCTTTACCCAAACAACATGCAGAACAAAAGTCAATAGCATTTTTATTGATATATGGAAGATTACAAAGATTCAATACAGACTTAAGGGCCTCAAAATGAGGATGACCTAGTCTTAAATGCCAAATATTACAACTGGAGTCTGACTGAGAGTTATTACAAGTAGATACAAGAGAACTAGGAAACACAGATTTATGGGAATGGAACTTGGACAAATTTGAAGTAGAGTTGTGAGACCCAAGAGCTGGAAAGGATTGAAACTTGTAAAGACCATCTTCACCAAGTATTCCATACCACAGAACCTGTTTAGAAACCTGGGATTTAACAAAACATTCATGAGGATGAAATTCAAAAAATGCATTGTTATCGTTGACAAATTGGCTGACACTTAATAGATTTTTGGTTATAGCAGGAACATGTAAGATGTTATTGAGAGATAAAGAAAGAGATGATTGATAGGGTGAGGGAAAGGATGAAAAACCAATAGACTTAATTTCCAAACCTTGACCATTGCCCATAAACAGCTTATCAGTGGTAGCAATTGGCTCACTGTGTTGGAGATTGAGGGGATCAGCTGTGACATGATGTGTAGCTCCAGAGTCTGGGAACCAGTTCTGAGAATTTGGGGGGGTCCTAGTATAGAAGAGTTTGTAGAAGCCCAGGCTGCAGTTGGTACAGTAGGGGATGAAATTGAGTTGTGAGGGATGATTACTTTGCTGTGGATAGGGATAAGGTGGTTGGTTGGGTGAATATCTTGTTGTATTTGGAGGAGATAGTTGATATTGATTTGAATAGGGATGCGAAGGTGGAGGATATGAAGGTGGAGGTTGTTGCATAGGATATGAAAACTGTTGTTGCATAGGAGAAGAATTAGTAACAGTATAAGCTGGATTGTATCTGTGGTAACAAACGAGTGCACTGTGACCATTTTCACCACAAACTTGACAAGTAACTGAGCTTCTACCACCTGAACGACCACCTCTGCCCCTATTGAAACCTCCACGACCTCTGCCTCTGTAGGAGGAATTGACTTTAGAGGTATCAAACTGAGCAACTTGAGCTGAAGCATTTTCTGAAGTGTCCTGAGTTTCAGTTTCAGTATTGAGAGGAAGATTCAAGTCAAGCAACTTTAGCAGCAAATATTGTTTGTTGTGAGGACTCACGAAGTTTCTTCAGTCGCAATTCCTTTGCTAACAAGAGACCTTCAAGTTCAGATATAGTAATAGGATCTAAGATACTTCGCGAGGTGACAAATGATATAAGTGACTCATAATCCTCAGGAAGACCTTCAAGGATCACATTGATGTGATCCTTGGTTGATATAGGCTCACCGACAGACGTTAGGTTATCCTATTCAGAAATAGAACGATCACCTTTCCCAGTGTTATACAGTTCCGATTTCAGTTGACGAGCTCGCGCGATGATACTGGAGCGGAAGAAATTCTGAATTTCACTCCATAACTCATGCGAATGCTTGTAGCAGATGACGCGAGCATGAAGTGATTCCATGAAAACAGCATTTGGTCTTGTTGCTCCCGGATGTTGTATGCTTCATTAGCTGTTTTTGCTCCATTCTCATCGACTGAAAAACGATCTGGTATCTGAGGATTTTCTATGAATTTGAGAAGTTTATGAGCTCGAATCACTGATTCAACATGATGGTGCCAGAACAGAAAATTGTTTGAATCGAGTTTAATAGGTAGAGGATGATGAAAAATGATGAAAAATGATAGGCGAAGATTGATTAGCAATGTGAGAAGATAATTGCGAAGAAGAAGAGGAATCAGACGCAGAGTTCGTCATGGTTAGATCGAGCAATGCTCTGATACCATATTAGAAATGAAGCAAGGTAGAAGCAGAAATGAAATCATCTTGATTAGAATCAGATATTACAGAGTATTTACACAAGCTGTAGTCATAGCTAGCATAACCGAAGCCTAACAAAAAGCAGTTACATTGCTTTTACAAAGAATACACGTGTAGTTTTCCTATAGACCCAATAATAAAAACATTCCACATGTTCAGATTTTGAAATCATATCAAATTAGTACATAATTAGACATTAAATGCAATACATTTCTAGCAAATTCATTGGGTTACAAAACGTCACAATGTTGCTGCGAAAATTGGAAATCCAAGGTTCCTAAAATGCTAACTATTTAGGGAAACAGGTTTCCCAATTTTTATTAATTACGGAAACGGCCCCCCGAAACCAGAATTTGGGGTTTCCGAAGTTCCGAAACGGTTCCAAGTTTCCGAAACGGGAAACATGAGCAGCGGAGAGTTCCATGCTTCATGGGATTTAATTAATGTTTGTGGTACTCTTTCAATTTTGAGTCAAATGTTTCTAGAATATTCATGTTTTTTATTTTGTTTAATGTTATGAAATCATGTTATGAAATCTGTTTTTTGTTTAATGTTTTGAAATATGCAATTCTGTTTTTAATATAGTACCAAAACATAAGGTACAACGTACCGAACGTGTACCGAAATGAACCTACCCCCTTCGAACCGAGTACGCTAGATCTAGCGAACCGCGCTCCCGATCCTCGTTCTCGTAATGAAGTGTTCCGCGAATTATGTGACTATGCAGCAACATTACCCTTGTACTAAAGCAAGGATAGAATGTTTCTGAATGACCAATGAAGAAAATCGTGTCGAAAATTGCATGGACTGACTACTTCATAACAAAGAAGCGCAAACAATTTAGTGAGTCATTTTGCTTTATTCCATCATATTTCCAAGCCAAAAAATAGGGAGTCTTTGGTTCCAATGGAAATGATGGAAAATATGATCATTAATTTTAATATTTAACAATAACTAAACATACACCGTATTATATAAAATGTATTATAACATTTAAGGAGCACACAAAGACAACTCCATTAAGAGATAGGGGAGGATTGTAGCCGTTGTTTGACTTGTTTCAAGGAGTACACACCAGGGATCAAAACCCAGAAACGACAAATCCATAGCTGAAGCCAGGTTTTTTATATTAAGCGGGCTTTGAGCTATCGCAGGTCTGGTCTGGCTCCAGCCAGTTTTCTGGTTTCCACCCTAATAGCGGGCTGATAAGCAACCGGACCGGGTAGGTGCTAGGTCACCGGTTTCTGGATCAACCCACCCGGTTCATTCCGGTTCTTGAATCATACTCTCTACATCCCAGGTAAAGGTTTTCATTTGCCTATTTTGGACGTATCATCTAAAGGTTCTCATTTCTATTTTTAGGAAATAATTAAAATTGTTAAATGACAACTTAATCATCAAATAAATGATACACCTATAACATCACAGTTATCATCAATGACCACATTATATTATATGTACACCCAAACTATTTTTCAAAATATCCTCAAATCGTCTTATTTAAATATTGTCTATAAAATTGTGCCATTTTTTAATGGGAACCTTAAGGCAGGACAGAGGTAATAACTTTTATCCATTTATTATTATTAAATGGATAAAAGGGCCGAAAATTAATCCAAAAGGGATTAATTCTGATACTTCACCCTCCACTTTGCTAAAACTAGAAAATTCCCTTATTACAGCAATTTCTGAAATCTTGAAACTGGAAACACCACATGCCTCCACTACACACTTTAATTCCCGGACTTGGGTGATTTCCTGTCGGTCCATACGTGCTTTTGTCCTATGTTGTCAAAACTCAAAACCAGCCCGGGACGCAACCCGGAGAACTGACTCGGTCAAGAGTCAATCCGGACGCTCTATAAATGTGTTCATTTAGAAAAGAAGAACAAGGTATAAGATCAGAGTTCAATGAAGAAGGCTTACACTACCTTCATTTGACTGGGATCTGAAATTGCTAAAAGACGCTCTATAAATGTGTTCATTGCTAGCACAACATCTTCACCAGCGCTACTAGTAAGCTCCTACAATACAACAATATCCACACACCAGTAGAGTGCTTTAGTACTGTAATTCTAACAAATGCAAATTACCTAGTAAAACCTTCAATTTTGGTCCCGCCAATTTTCACACAAAAAAATATAGTATTTGACGTCCCCGAACTTGTTGCCATCTTTAGTCCTTAAACAATTACTATAGTGGTGTCTTTACTTTCACTTTAGATGAAAGATTTAATTTATTACTTGCTCCGTCCCACAAAACTTGGTCAACTTTGACTTGCACGTGGAATAATAAAGTAAAAACTATGTGGTTGATATTTGTGCACAAGAGAAAGAAATAACTTCAACCACTTATTTCTTACTTTAATAGGAGTTGGTAAACTTTTTTGGGACAGCTAAATAAGGAAATTTGGCAAAGTTTTATAGGACGGAGGGAGTATATAAATTGTTTATAATCTAGTTTCTAAGAGCATTTAAGATGATTACATACGGATGTAACAAACCACTAATAACATCTACTAGCACATCTTTTTTTACTGTTTAGTTATGAATTAAAACTCCATCCCAAAGATAAGAGTCATGCTTCAAGAGCCCCCTTTCCCCTAAAGCCAAGCGGAGGCAAGAAGTTTTAGTTAACTACTCCAAACAATTTTGTCAATCAAATTTAGGAGTAAAAGTCACCATTCACAACTTGTTAAAGCTTGTACCTTGATTAATTGACTAAAACTAAAAAATGTACCCAACTAAAAGAAGACTTCGTTTTGGGAGTGTTTTTTGTGAAATGATATAATGATATTTCCATCTGTCATTCCATACATACTCCTACAGGTTATATTTGGTTCCCTATGTTGATTTCAATTTTATGCAAATGTATGAAAAAGTGTATTAAAATGACAGAGAAAGTCAATTTGAGGAGATCTTACATATAAAAGTTCAAAAAAGATTTTGGGGTATGTCAAAGGAAATAAAAGTGGTGCCAATAATCAATGAGCTACACCTGCTATTTCTTAATAATTGACGGATCAAAATTAGCATTTTCCTAAACAGCTATGACAATATCAATTCTTACCTTCAAGTTTTGGGGCTCAAGAGTCTTAAGGTATTCAAACATTTCATTCTGCCCATTAGCAGATTTTCGTTCTATTTGACGATTCAATTCCTCGACTTCAGCTTCAAGTAACTCGATGTATTTCACTGCATCAATTTTTTCAGCACCAGAAACGTTATTCCACCTAATTACTTCACCAGAGACCTTTTTCTGTGTCCCTGGTGCATAATCTGGTACGTCCTGCGGAATACAACTTTAGATTCCTCATCATAAATTAAAAGGATCCACACGAACAATGTAAGAAGATACATGTAAACTACTTTGTAACATAGAATAATAAAAAATAGAAGTACATTAAAATATAAGTGAAGGAAAAATGACAGTCAAAAAACTGATTTTCTTTTAATTTCCCGTAAGACATGCCAGTTTCTATCGTAAGTGTGCATTTAATTTTCCATTTTTAATTCCACCCTTATTTAACATTTAATTTCTGGAACTCCATGATAGGAGTAACAGTACAGTAATTAACTTCAAAAGAAGGCATGAGGGAGAATTGCATATAAAATCAAGTATTCCAACTAACTAGCAACAGTTTCTAATCCACTTATACATGCATATCTGACAGGGACATGGACTTCCAATAATAATAATAGTAGAATTATACTAAGGAGTGTGATAATGTATAAATAAGGGTTTTGGGCTAGCTACTAGTTAGCTTGGGCCGGCCCATAAGGGAATTTATTATAAATAGGAGTGAAGTAGAATAAGAGGGGGGGAGAACCTGGAATAGGACTGGGACTTGGGAGAGACGAGGCACTCTCAAACTTGCCTCATCTGTATTGTTTCCTTTCAGTTTCTACAATTTCAGTTTTAATATCAAACAATTCAGCCCCAGATTTCTGTGTACCTAGATAGTGATACTAAAAAGAATAACAGTGTCTTGTAATAGTGTATAATAAAAGGGGTTTAGGTCCTGTAACTAATAGCAGTGGGCTGGCCCATAAGGAATATGATAAATATGTGTTGGGGAGTAGAATAAGGCAGGCAGATTTTGGATTTGGAAAATTGGGATCTGGGAGAGTGAGGCCTCTACAAGCGCCTCGTCTGTATCTTCTTCTTCAATTCTGCACTTCACCTCAATCATAGTGATCTATTTACTGTTACGAAATTGGAGTTCCTAACTGTGAAAGTATATTAGAATATACTTTAGAATATGCTTTAGAATATATTAGGAATATACCATATATAGTATTATTGTATAGCATCTTTTATAGGAATATTCTATCTTTGTAATCTATATTTATAGGGCCTTACCCTTCAATGAAAAATACAGAAAATCTTTCCTCCTCTCTTCAATATTATTGTAGTTTATATTTCAACATGGTATCAGAGTCAGCTGGTCTTTATATTTTGGATACATCCATCACAAAAGGTATCTCTTGTCTTGGGGTTGGGACTTTGTTAGATGCCCATTACCGATTAGGACATCCATCTCTCCCATTAATGAAGCAAATAAATCCCCAATTTAATAAGATGACCTCTTTACAATGTGAGTCATGTCAATTTGCGAAACACCATCGTACTAGCTTAAGCTCGCGAGTTAATAAACGAGCAAATGCTCCATTTGACCTTGTTCACTCTGATGTTTGGGGTGCTTGCCCGGTTGTGTCTAAAGCTGGTTTTAAATATTTTGTTACCTTTGTTGATGACCATTCTCGTATGACATGGCTGTATTTCATGAAACGTCGATCTGAGTTGTTCACTCATTTTTCTTCCTTTTGTGCTGAAATTAAAACTCAGTTTAACGTTCCTGTTCGGGTGTTAAGAGGAGACAATGCCCAAGAATATCTATCTGCTACATTTAAGTCATTTATGCTTCCACATGGCATTATTCATCAAACTTCATGCGTTGACACACCTCCTCAAAATGGAATTGCAGAACGAAAGAACCGACATTTGTTAGAAACTGCAAGGGCTCTTCTATTCCAAATGAATGTGCCTAAACAGTTTTGGGCAAATGTCGTGTCTACTGCATGTTTTTTGATAAATCGAATGTCATCTTCTGTTTTGAATGGTAAAGCTCCTTATCATTGTCTATTTCCAAACAGAGAGCTTTTTCCTATCCCACCTAAAATATTTGGTTGCACTTGTTTTGTTAGAGATGTTAATCCTCATCTTACAAAGTTAGATCCCAAATCATTAAAATGTATTTTCTGGGGTTATTCTCGAGTCCAAAAGGGGTATAGATGTTTTTGTCCGAGTACTTTCCATCATTTGCAATGGAGCCAAAGATTCATTATTTTTTGGCTTGAGATTATGATGGAATAAAGCAAAATGGCTCACTAAACTGTTTGCGCTTCTTTGTCATGAAGCAGCAGTCAGTCCATGCAATTTTGGACGGGATTTTCACTATGGGTCATCCGGAAACAGTCTCTCTGTGCTTTAGTAAAGGGGTAAGACTGCGTACATCCGACCCCCCCTTACCCCACCGTAGGTGGGAGCCTTTGCGGCACTGGGGTAAATGAAAATGAAAATAAATGAAAATGACTGGTCGGTATCTCTTGTTTCTATTGATGCATCTTTCATGAAAATACACCTTTTTCATCATCTAAGGCAGATATTCGTGAGAGTAATGATGATATTCTCATTTACACGATGACTATTCCCGAGTCCACACTTTCGACAAATATTCCACAAGTTACTGTTCCTGACCCTAGGCCTCCCGTACATTTGATATACACCCATCGACACAAAGCACCTGATCACCCTCCACCGGCGATACCTGTGATTACTTATCCTGATACTAGTTCGACTCCGATCTCATGTCCTGAACCAGTACCTGCATCTTCAGATCTCGTCTCCACATCAGATCTTGACCTCCCAATAGCACTACGTAAAGGTACACGGTCTTGTACTCATCCTATTTCTTCATTTGTGTCGTACAATCAGTTATCTCCTGCTTCATGTTCTCTTATTGCTTCCATTGATTCTATTTATGTTCCCAAATCTGTCAAAAAAGCTTTGTCTCATCCTGAATGGCGTCATGCCATGGTAGAGGAAATGAATGCTTTAGATCTTAATGGTACTTGGGATTTGGTTGACTTGCCTACAGGGAAGAAATCTATTGGATATAAGTGGGTCTTTGCTGTTAAGATTAACCCAGACGGATCTGTTGCTCGGTTGAAAGCCCGATTAGTTGCGAAGGGTTATGCTCAAACCTATGGTGTTGATTATTCTGACACTTTTTCTCCTGTTGCTAAATTAACATCTGTCAGGTTACTTATTTCACTCGCTGCAAGTCATGATTGGCACTTACATCAGTTGGACATTAAAAATTCATTTTTGCATGGTGACCTTAAGGAAGAAGTCTATATTGAGCAACCTCCGGGATTTGTTGCTCAGGGGGAGTGTGGTAAAGTTTGTCGACTTCGCAAATCTCTTTATGGTCTGAAACAGAGTCCTCGTGCATGGTTTGGGAAATTCAGTCAATCAATTGAACAATTTGGAATGATAAAAGGCAAATCAGATCACTCTGTCTTTTACAAACAAACAGAATCAGGTGTCACATTGCTTGTGGTGTATGTTGATGATATTGTGATTACAAGGAGTGATAATGCAAGTATTTTGGCCCTTAAGAATTTTCTACATAGTAAATTCCAGACGAAAGATCTTGGCTCTTTGAAATACTTTCTGGGAATTGAGGTAACACGAAGTAAGGAAGGCATATTTCTATCTCAACGTAAATATGTACTTGACTTACTAGCTGAGACAGGGAAATTAGGGGCAAAACCAAGTACAACACCCATGGTTCCCAACGTGCAACTCACTCAAGAAGGCACACCATTTGAAGACCCATAAAGATATAGAAGACTGGTTGGAAAGCTTAATTATCTCGCAGTCACTCGTCCAGATATTGCTTATTCTGTGAGTGTGGTGAGTCAATACCTGTCATCTCCAACTATTGATCATTGGGCTGCAGTAGAACACATATTATGTTACTTAAAGGGTGCACCAGGACGAGGTATTGTTTATCAAAACCATGATCACATGAGAATAGAATGTTTTGCAGATGCTGATTGGGCCGGTTCTAAAGATGATCGAAGATCTACATCTGGTTATTGTGTCTTAGTTGGTGGTAATCTTGTATCTTGGAAGAGTAAGAAGCAGAATGTGGTTTCTCGTTCGAGTGCCGAATAAGAATATCGAGCTATGGCACAATCTGCATGTGAGATCATATGGATAAGCCATTTATTGACCGAGCTCGGACTGAAGACATCAATGCCTGCTAAATTGTGGTGTGATAACCAAGCTGCTATACACATAGCAAACAATCCTGTATTTCATGAGAGAAGTCAGAGAACAAAGCATATTGAGGTCGATTGTCATTTTATTCGAGAGAAGATACAAAAAAGATTGATCTCTACAGGATATGTGAAGACCGGGGAACAACTTGGAGATTTGTTCACTAAAGCACTAAATGAAATTCGAGTTGGTTATTTATGTAACAAGTTGGGCATGATAAATATCTATGCTCCAACTTTAGGGGGAGTGTGAAAGTATATTAGAATATACTTTAGAATATGCTTTAGAATATATTAGGAATATACCATATATGGTATTATTGTATAGCATCTTTTGTAGGAATATTCTATCTTTGTAATCTATATTTATAGGGCCTTACCCTTCGATGAAAAATACATAAAATCTTTCCTCCTCTCTTCAATATTATTCTAGTTTATATTTCAACACTGACATTGGTATCAGAGCATCAACGATTGATGGAGTAGAGAAGGACTGTTACGCGTGCGCAGATGGAGAATAGCGTCGGAAGGGTTGAAAGCCAAGTCACGAAGATGGAAACGATGCTGGACGAGATGATAAATCATCTGCGTGAACAGCTTCGACGGAGAACTAGAGGTCGAGCGAGGAGCCCTCCTAGACGCCATCGGCCAACTGAAAATCAGGTTTCTTCGTCTGTTGCTCCTCCTAGTTCGCAATCGCGAACGAGGCATCGTCGCGTGCGCAGGTCTCTTCCTCTGCCCAGTCGCGAGCACTTCTGTCCAGTTGTCTGACTTCTTCGCGAACTTCATCTCACAGTTTGCAGTCGCGAACTTCGTCTATCGATTAGCAGTCGCGAACCGTGTCTACCAGTTCGCAGGTCTCAGTTGGTAGGGCTCAACATGCGACTTATCTCATTTTGCAGGTCTCCTCGCAGGTTTTGTCGCAAAATACTACTCACT